ACATTTATGGTTTGATTTCTTTGTATRTATGGATCACTTGGGTTGTTACCGACATCTGGTGAAAATGTCATGTCATTAGCACCTCTAGTAATATATKTACTGAGAAAAATGGTGACGTGTTCAATACTTATTTTACCCGCTGTAAACCTCAGAGTCAGCAGTTAATATTTCRCATTTGCTTGAAGCATCTTAAGCAGGAAAACTTGTTACTTTTTTTTTACATTTACGGCCTTAAAAGCTAAAGGTTGTATTATTTAGGAAATTGCATCAATCCTTGTCATTCATTCTCACCTGCAGCTGAACGGTGAAGGACAGGTGCTGTGAGCGCCCATGTTGTCTGTTAGCAAAATTTCCCGCAAACAATGAAAAACATTAATGAAGCTCCCTGAAAGCTTGGTGAAATTTACAGATAGTGAGCTCAAATTTGTTGTGATGGTAGCTGAGAGTCATCCTCAACTTAATATCTGAGCAAAATGGCTGAAAGTACTCAACATAACGATCTTAGTTTGAAACAGAGGCTTAAAAACATTAATCTGAAGAATGGTTAGAGTTTTAGATAGTAAGCACTGGTTTGAGTGTTACTGGATTCGTAGCACCGCACAGTGTCTCCTCACCTAGCTTGTTCCTGTTGGACAGCAGGATGGAGGTGCAGTGGAGGACATGTGGCAGAGCGGCCTGGACCAGCTCCCAGCGGGAGATACTCTGGATGGCCTCCGACAGAGCCGGTGACAGACCGTGCAGCTTGTTTTCCACCAGCACCCGCTCAAAGGACTGGGGAGGCAGCCAGGAAAAAAAAAAAAAAAAGACACATCAGCCTTTCTTTGACTCCTTAAATGTCCCATATGGCCCCAAAGCAGACCCATGGGACAGCAGCAGATCAGCTCGGGGATCTGGTGGAAAGTCATTACGGATATGAGTGTAGAAAAAAAATAAAAAATAAAAAAACGATTTAGCTCCAGGGGAAAACTAATTTGCTAAATGCACACGAAGGTAAAAACAGATTATTTCCACTCCTCATTCGTGCACATAATAAAAATGACTCACCACACAGGATGCTTCATACTGCTTTCCCAACTTTGGACGCAGGAAAGCACTGAAAAACAAATATACAGATATTTATTAAAAATGATCCAGTCAGGTCACTGCAGGGGAAATAACCAGTTTTGTCTGCCCTACTTGTTTACAGGTGTGACATCATGCAGTGAGAATATTTCAGATAAACAACAATAAAAAAAACAAATAGTGACCTTTCATTTGAGCTGCAGTAGCCTCCCCTCCTCAGTGACAGCCCAGACAAACACCTGTTATCAATTACCTGGTCTGCCTCCACAGGAAGGTCTGGATGGGAAACGGTACTCCCTTCCCGCACTCCGGCTCGTTCTCGTCCAGGCTTTTCCGCTTCACCATTTTGGTCGAGCCCCCTCCTCCTCCTCCTCCTCCTCCTCTTCCTCCTGTCCCCCTGGTTGAGCTGCTGCCTCTGCCCAGGTGGAGCAGCGAGCCTCTGCCTCACGACATGATTGGCTTCGTAAAATGGCTGCAAGTGTCGGTTAGGAGAGGGGAGGAGGAGGAGGAGAAAGAGGAGGAGGAGGAGGAGGATGAAGAAACGGCGCTGTGATTTTTCTTTTCGTCTTCTTTTTTCAGCACCTCCGTCGGGCGGACAGCGAGCGAGACGATCCGCGTGCCAGTTTACCGGCGCGCGCGCAGGAAGAGCTTTTAAAGACGCAGTGTGCGGCAAGCAGCTGGAGCCAGATGTTTCCTCTGTGGATGATCAGTGAAGTGGCGCGCGCGTCTGAACGAGACAAGACGAAGTGCCGAGTGGTGCGTTCACGGGAAGGGGGGTTTAATCCGCCGTCTGACTGTCAACAGGTTGTTTAAAGACCCAGGTGGTGAGCTGGAGGGGTGGGGGKAGAACACTGCACATTCAACAAGTCTGACCCAAAACAAAAGGCCTAAAACTGTCCATGTGAAATAAAAAGCTGCTTATAGTTATAGTAATGAAATTATTTGACTYGGAGCAATTTAACTTTTGTTGTAAATTGTCACTAATAAATTCAATAATATTTTTTTTGTAAATAAAATAATAAATCAGAGTAGCTATTGTTAATCGTGTCTGTCTTTAATTCACGTGTCCTTTTTTTTTAAACACTATATTTTGGGATCTAATTATGTCAGTGGCGGATCTAGGATTTTTCYGAGTAAGGGGCCATCRAGGGGCCACTATATTTAWAGAGGGGCCARCTATTTGTTCAACCTACTTTCAAACAAATCCCCAGTTTTGTTCAAACACCTGTAACAAAATATATACATATTTAAAAAGCTTGCACAATAAATTCTCCTTGCCAGTTTTACATACATTTGTACTAGATAATATACTGTCAAACATAGGGTTGTAAGAAAATATCGATACACTGAAATGTCGCGATATTTCATTTCCCAATACTGTATCGATATTCTAAAGCCCTGTATCGATTTTATATTAAGGTTTAAAATGTCAACTTTTCTGCCAGCCGTTCATTTTTATGTTGTAGTTCAGCCTCTGACCACTAGTTGGCAGCAGTGAGCCAGCGATTTGTTAAGTGTTGGGTGACCATATTGTAAATTAATATTAAAAACTAAAAGCTGCAAAAATATATTTTCAAACTATTTAACGGCAAATTTAGTCTAATAATTGAAAACATGGATGGAATAAAAATATGAAACAAACATAATAAAATACATAGAAAGCAGAACACAGCTAAATGTATCAAAAGTATATCTATGTAATATTAGAATTTTCTGAGACAATGAATTTTGGTTTTTCTTTTTTTTTCCCCTGTAAGAGGTTTTTATTTAATAGAATTTTTGGACAAAAGAAATCGCAATACAGTATATCGCAATATATTGCCTTTCTTACAGTATCCCAATATATCGGGATATATCGTATCGTGACCCCTCTGTCATGATATGTATCGTATCGCCAAATTCTTGCCAATACACAGCCCCAGTCAAACACAGAGCATTTGAGAAAATCTAATCATTTCTCAGTTGAAAGACTTTCTGCAGTATTGTTCTGATTTTCTGTCCGCTTGATTCATGCTGGACTTTCCTATTTGACTCATTATCGCTTGTGGTGTTTGGACATGGACCTGCATCTGCCATCACTGATCTTGGGCAAAGGACAGATGAATGATAGGACAGGCTCCTGTGGCCCCGCCCCTAGAACCACTCCTGAATTATGACAACATACACTACGMTGCTAACAGCTAAATTACAATTAGAAAAGCACTAGCTGATGGGCATAGACAACTAAAAAAAACTTTTGTTGTGATACAGCACTTAAAGGCACAGTGTGTAGGATTTGTTGTTTTCAGCGACATCCAGTGGTTGAGTGGTTGAATCATCCTCCCTGGTCCTCCCCCCACCCCCCGCTTCCAAACGCAAAGTAGTAGCTACGGTGTCTCTCAGGTGTCAAAAACCTTTGATAACTCCAACCGCGATGTCAACCAGCAGCTTCAGGGCTAGTGATGTTTCAAGTGGTAAGATTATGAGCTTTAATAAGTAAAATTATCCCAGCTACAATGATAGACAACAAATATTACATTTATAGTATTACAACTAAAACCGTTTTTGACGCCGCCACCGCAGTTTGTCCTTCATGAGCCTTCATATACAAGATGGCGGTGCAAGATGGCGGCTGCCTGTAGGGCGACCCACGACCATGGAGATGTAAACAGCTTTTAATAAGGTAAAAATAATAAAACAAGGTCTTTGTCTGCAATGATTAGACATGTTTTTTAAATTATTATTGTCATTAGTGATTATCTCAATTTCTGCTGTAAGAATTGACAAAATCCTACACACTGTGCCTTTAAAACTACGGAAGCCGAGTGAGGCCATTTTCCACATTTAATTTTTTTCCATGGTTTTCATGACTTTATCATAAAATAACGAGGAACGTTTTCACGAGATAACAAGTTAATTTCCCAATGGTTTTCTCAAGATAACGAGTAACGGTTTTCTTGTGTATCATTCAGCAACCATGGTGAAGGCCTGGACCCCTCAGCTGTCACCTATAAAGTTTATTAAATCAGCAGGATCACTGTGTAAACACCTGCTGAGCTGCAGTCAGGCCAGCCGTCTCCTTAAATGATGAGGGCTGATATGAACGTTATCTGTAGACAAACAAATCGTAATTTCAGCCTGTGTAATGACACAAAAATGACACAAAATGACGTACACTAGGTTGCCTTCAGGTCCAGGCTGCCCTTGAAAAAGAGATCTGCAATCTCATTGGGATTTGCCTGGTTAAATAACGGTAAATAAATAAATTGTAAACTTCATCGATGAGCAGCTGAGGGGATCAGGCTGTCTCTATTACTGAATGATGCACAAGAAAACCATTACTCGTTATCTCGAGAAAACGCTCCTCGTTATTCGGTGATAACAACATGAGAACACCATGGAAAGTAATTATACAGAAATCAGACACGCTTGGCTTCCGTAGATTTGCCTGGTTAATGATGGTAAGTAAGTAAATACATAAATCAATAAATAAACTCCCAGCTGAGGGGACCAGGCCATCTCCATGATTACTGAAGGATGAACAAGTGGAAAACCAACGGGAAATAAACTCGTTATTTTGAGAAAATGCTTCTTGTTATTTCGTGATAACATATGACATTATCACAAGAAACCCATGGAAAATAATTATGTGCAGAAAATGGCCGCTTTACAGAAGCTGACAGCAGCTGTTTTCTGCATTTAATTTTTATCCATGGTTTTCTCCTGTAAAAATGAAATGCTGGATTTACTTAACCATGTTATGTTACCTGGTTCCACTTAACTTAGTTGAGTAAATTCAAGGCAACATACTCATGTTCTTTGGCTAAAAAACTGGAATATTGCTTTGAATTTACTCAACTAAGTTAAGTGGAACCAGGTAACAAAACATGGTTAAGTAAACCCAGCATTTCATTTTTTACAGTGTAATATGTCGTTATCACGAGAAAACCATGGAAAATATTTATATGCAGAAAATGGCCACTCTTGGCTTCCGTACCACTCTCAGCTTCATAAAAACTTTGAACAAATTACATTTAAAACATGTACTGTACATTTAGTATTTTGGTATAAAGAAACAAAACCAATAAGCCAACATTAACCCTTTCGTGCATGAATTATGATAAACTCAGTCAGGATTTTTTTACTAAGTGTTTTCATACATCCTTAGGGATGTGAAACAAGGTTTGAAAAAACTTTTTTCTATCTTTATTTTTTAAAGAAATAATTATCTGTACACTCAAGTGTAACTTCATGCGTTTTGTACTGTAAAATACATAAATGTAATAACATGGTAATTATATAGGTATAGTTGTAATTTAGTTATACAGTTGTAATGTGGTATTCTGTTGGAATGGTGGTTCTTCCTCTACTCTGTAGTCCTCTCTAGTTGAGTTCTACTGATAAACGTAAAAGTTAACATAAACATAAAATTATGTTTTCACTAGGCGTTTTGATTCATCTTTAGGGATGTAAAACAAGGTTAAAAAATAAAGATATATTCTCTCTGAACTGAGGAGGATAGCATGACCCAAGTCACAGTCTGAACTAGGGCTGCACAATATATTGAAAATGTATCATCGCAATAACTGCTTGTGCAATATTCATATTGCAACAAATGCATGAAGTGTTTGCATTTATGAGTTTTGTCACTCTGACGGTAGCTTGAAGTATTGAAGTATTTCACCAACCAAATAGAGCCCTTCATATATTACTCTTCATATTTTTAAAAATTCATACCAGAATGAAAATGATTAGTATTGTTTTTTTGCTCAGAACCCAGAAAACATTCAACACTACATACTTATGTATTTGTTCATTTATCTCAAGTCATATCGTCATCGCAATTTTCAGCACTGTTATCACACATCACAGGTTTTCCTGATATCGTGCAGCCCTACTCTGAACTGTAAATCCTCATAGAATCGTGACTGTAAATGTTTTTTTTTTTAATCAGGATGTTTTCTTGTTAAGTCTCTGAACTGAGCATATTCTCTCATAGCAATCTCTCTTATAGCATGTATAATACTGTATATATATTTTTGGCCAGACAGTGTATAAAAATTTATTTATATAAAAAAATCAAATTACATTATAATACTATAAAGTTGGTTTACAACCAAAACTGTTTAGGAT